GGAAATGTGAAGGCAGTTCGTTAATTTTATTTTCTTATTTTTCATTACGATAGTGATTGTTACGGCTATTTTTACTCACCAAAATCATTTATAGGGAGGACTAGCTTTTGTGACGTAATATTTGTTAGGGGGTCGCCAAAAGTGTAACTTATTGTGACGACGAGGAAGGGAGAAATTCAAAAAGGTGAAAGTCTGAGTGACGTATTTTATGGACGACTCCTAAACATAAAAATTTGAAGCATTACAATTTACAGGTGTGTGCAAAAAATTAAGTGTACTTTTTTTATTCGAAAAAGGTTGTTAAAGATGTATGTTTGGAGCGTGTCGCTGTACGGATGCGAAACATGGACAGTGGGCGCGGCTAAAACGAAAAGGTTAGAAGCTTTCGAAATGTGGTGTTTTAGGCTAATGATGAGGATAACGTGGGTAGAAAAGATTAGTAATGAAAAGGTATTAGAAAGAATAAGAGAACAGAGGACTATGGAAGTCAACAAAAAATAGGCGAGATAGGTTGGTAGGACACCTTCTCAGACATGAAGGTCTAGTCAGAGACATATAAGAGGCAGAAACAGAAGTTAGGAGGGGTAGAGGTAGACCTAGGTTAGATTGCTGTTCGCAAATAGTTAAGGATGTGGGTTGTTCTAGTTTTGGGGAAATGCGAAGATTAGCTCAGGATAGGAAAGAGTGGAGGTACGTGTCCAACCAGTCTTAGGACTGATGACCTTATGATGATGATGAAGCCACACATTCTCTAATTATTATGAATTCGAAAAATATTTATTGGAAAATTGAGGGAAAGAATAATAGATGTCAAGACTTTAAAATTTTCTCTATTTAGCTTTTTCACTAGATTTCTTCATTGTGTAATTTCGGTCTTCATATGATGCTCAGAATTTTATACCTACACTTAACAAGATTTATGCATCTTGATCAATCTATATATAGAATATGGGAGGTAAGGTACTATTCGAACTCAAATACAGAAATCTCATCGTATAACAATAAATACTCGCAGTATCTTGTTGCTTTTAGAATCGGAAACCAATATTTACAGTTTTATGATGTAATTGAACGTCATGGCTATTTATATATACTGCTTTGAACTTTGAATTGATACAGAGGAGGACCGATGCGATGTTAACCTTCAACTTCCATGGGCGATGATGATACCATAATTGGTTGATATTGTATTACCGGACCCTGGTAATTTTACAATGTTATCGGTCATCTTAAATGTTATATAACTGCATTTAATATTACTTAACGCATTACAATTGCGAGCTAGACCGTTTATACATTCCTGTTATTAATATTAGGAAAATTTTTGTTTGAATTAAAAATTTTCTAAGAATTTCAGGTTTTTCTACAAATAATAAAGTAAATAAATGACAGTCGTTAAGTAAAAAAAATAACGCCAACTTTGTTTTTTTGTTAATTTTGGCTTACAATTAGAAAAATATGCTCATATAACAAATCGACGATATTATACAATTTACTTTTTAGTTCCGGATCTTCAAGTAAGCCAATTTTGATAAAAATGTACATATATTTTTTACATCTTCTGTGCATGCAATCGCGTTATTTTTACAACATTCAAAGGTTTACGCTGTCGCGGAATAAATATCGCTGACTGCATTATATCCATACATATATGCAAATATAGTTAATACTGCCTATATATACATATGAATTTATTAATGTGGTAGCCGCTGGGTGCCAAGGTCGGTTAGTTTTGCGGTTTCGGTTATAAACGAAAATGTAAGGCATAACATTAAATAAAAATGTATATGTATATGTATTTGCTTTGCAACAGGTCTACTCTACACTTGTTGACAGAAATGATATCAAAAATTATGCAAGAGAGGAGAGAGAATAACCGCGATATTGATACCTGCTAGGTATGTTTACCATTACCTAGTGTACATACAAATCCATATACCTACAATACCAGTGCACCCAGTATACACAATTGGCATAAAATTAATATTCTGCATTTGTGATTGTGCCGGGCAATGAATTAAATATGTAGAACAATTTCTAATACAGATTGTGTATGTAGGTCAAGACCTTTTGAGATAACAAGTTATTTTTATACGTACATACAATAAACGAAAATAAAGTTAGGCAGTTGTCAAAATGCATCATATGTTTCATTATCAGTCTGCTATCACTTATCATTATTAATGTGAACTTTTGGGTTTTTTATTCACTAATTTGTCAATGTTAAAACGATAAAAAATGCTAAACAAAACAAACAAGAATTTTAAAAATTCAGAGTTCTTAGGTAAATATGATAAAAATGCAATGTTTAGTATTTGTGTTAAAATTTATAATTATCGTAATATACTAACAGTTTACTTGGGGTACGTAGAATATATTTTTATATTTTACTTGATAGTTGAAATCACAACTCTAATTTATTAAAAAAGCCCCTATACTAAAGAGATTTATACATGCATATACCGCATGCGAAAGTGCAGATCTTGGTATTGAATTATAATATGCCACTCTTATCAACACCAGCTTAAAAAAAAACATAGCGGACACGAACACCAACTGGCTGCTGGAGGTTGTGCGAAGATAATATAGACAGAATGCATATTTTTACGAAGCGACAATTCCCATAGTGCATACTTTGAAATTTCCCATACCAGACGTGAGGAACTTTTTACCACTATAGGTCAAATTTAAATTAGGAAGTAATAAAGAAGGCCGCATAAGTTGATATACTTATAAATTTGCGAAATTATTTTAGTTTTGGTAGTTACAATTCAATCAATTACACTTCAGAATGCTAATTTTCAATTGTCGTAAATTCTATCATTAAATATTAATTAATATGAGCTAGCATTCATGTAGGTTGCATGTTCCCTCCTTCTACACTATGGTATACTTAAAAAACACTTGACTTCGTTTAGTAAATACTTATATACTATGCATAATTTCACGGTTATTGCATACATATAATGACTTCGATATCGTATTTCAAGCGGTTATCTATATTACATACATTGTAACTATCGGATGGGTCCCCATGGCAATGGCACTTTACACATGGCAATCAGAAGAAGATTCTCTCTCACCATAACCTAACCTAACCTAAATTAAACTCATGGTGTATAGCACTTCACAAACGTCAATCAATGAAACCTTTCCCTCCATAACATAACCTAGCGCACACCACTTAACGGGCGGTATATAGCACTTTACACAAGCTATTAGGGAATTCCCCTTCTCACCATAACCTTACNAATCGGAATATTTGAAAATAAATATTAGTTAAATTTTACTTACTACTACATTTACGAATTAATAATAATATGCATAAAAAAAAAGGTAAAATACTGCCGAACAGTGAGAGACCATTTCAACCCACCTTTGGATTGATACAGTTCGGTTATTTTTCCATTCGGCAATTTTCTCTTCCGCAACGTATACTTTCATATAAGCATACTCGTCGTATCATTTTCAGATATTTGATGGGTTGTAATTTTATTAACAAGTAATCAAAAATTCGGGACAATCCGGGACAAAAAACCTGAATCCGGGACAAATATTGCTTCTAGAAAAATCCGGGACACAAGGTGGAAATCCGGGACTGTCCCGGCCAATCCGGGACGTATGGTCACCTTATTACAACGTCATCCTAGAGACTAGGTATATTTTGACATAATAATCGAGAGTTGTTATTAACGGAAGTAGACACAGTACGAATCGACAAATTTGAGCAATTTCAGAAACAAACTTTGCACTAACTGTGTAACACATACACTGTATTTAATGGTAAGACTTTTACCGTTAGTTTAAATGACGAATTTCCATGACTATTTAAAAGTAACGCTATATCAGAATTAACGTTATAGCCGATGTTGTTATAATCAAGCTCCACTGCACATTATCTCGAAGAAAACCAACAGTAGATGTCAGTATGACATAAGTTCCTATTGAGCCAGAATTCTCATATGTACTTAGAACCATTAAACCAATTTGAATGAAAATAAAAGAAATTTTGAATCACCCTAATACCTATACCTACACATATTTCTTACAACGCCGTGTATATTAATACGAACACAGTAAGAATGTGCACTTATTAATTAAATAATTGCTGACACTACATTTTATCTACAATCTTTTCAACCTACATATGGATTATAACTTATAATAGGCGTACATAATATGGCAGGATTTATGCTTGTTTGTTAAATTGCATTTCCTTATAAGGAAAGAAAATTATATTCCGTTTACTTATCTGGTAAATGAAATTACACAGCAAATGCTATTATTTATAGATTAATGTTAAAAATCAAACTGAAATACACCGGTATAATTAATAATAGTGAGGATGTAATACGTATACTAATTGAAGCAATAAATTACTATTAAGTTTAATCTTAATCACCGATTAAGAACATTTCCCAATTACTTGTTAACATCTATTACTACAAACGAATACTTGAAATTATGATTACAATACTACCCCATTTATTTCAGATCAAACCATAGTGGTTACTAACTTACGATAAAAATAACGTTAATTTTAAAATTTTTAATACATTTTCGGGAACTCTTGAAATAAATAAAATCAGTACGTATCTTAAAATGCCTAATATATAACATTCTAAAGATGCCATTGGTATTGGAAAGAAAATATAGCTTTTCTTCATCTATACAAAAGTGAGCAATAAGCATGCAATTATTTTTCACCAATAACTTCTAGTGTCTCATTAGAGAGATTGTTTTCGAAACAATCTACAAATATGTTTCTAGAATAAAAATGATTAATTCTTAAATTAATTACAAATCGTTTATTTTTTTGAATTCTTACATGAAAATGTGCACACTGCACACCGTCATTTATACATACATATTTTTGAGTTTCGAATATTACGAAATGCTGATACGTTGGGGATATTCTGGGACTAGATTCGAACACGGCATCGTAAAAGTTATTTTTACTTCATTTTTATTTGAATGTTAAAACAAAAACAAATTCTTACCCTTTTTAAATTTCTTTTCAGCTGCCTCCTTCTCTTTAACGGCCTTCTTGTCAAGCGGTGGTTTGCTACTCAAAATTTGATTGTTTTGCTCGGACAATATCAGTTGCGCCGTGGCTACTTTACCGTCACTTTTCGTTTTATTTTTGTTCTTCATTTTAATATATTAACTAATTATACTATTGGCAAGATGCACTAGTTAGATCGATGCACTTTTTTATATATTTTAGATTGTCTAAATACCTATCGGGAGCAATTACACGTAATTTAAAATTTACGAATGTTGTGTGCAGGTGAAAGAATACTTTCGTGTACCTAATTACTGGTTTTTGGCGTATAGAAACTGTAACGCTGGTGCAGTTAATGTGCACCGGAAAAGACAAGATAAAGTAGAGGTAGTTCTGAATCTCATGAACCTCGGCATTAAGTTGCAAAATTCCGCCCGTTCATTGACTTCTACATTTCTACCTCTCAAAAACAATGGCCATCCATTGTTGCATAGAGAGGCGCATGCTTAACAGCCGTAAGTACAATATGAATGCAATAAGGTCAGTCTCTCGCCAATGCGATTTCAAACTAGCTATACTTATTGTAACATTAACATGAGACAAATATTATACGTCTGCATTATATCAGATTTATAAAATACTGCAGGTAGTATTAGATTAAAATTTACGAGAAGTATTTTTACGGCTTCGCCACTACCATTTGAAGAAAAAAAAAATAAGATTTTCCGTTAATTTCATAAAATAATAACAACATTCTCATACACACACCAATACCGTGTTCCTAATGGGGTCGGAACACAAACGGAACCAAAAATTTCTACACTAATAAATGTCATTGACTACATTCGACTTTTTATTCTTAATAACTTTCAGTTTTTTTTGTAGTACATATTATAATTATTTAGCAATTTCATCGTGGTACTAAAACACGAAAGATACGTGTACGCCGTTTTTTTCATTACAAAAAGTAGGTGTTGTACATACACGATAGGCAATTTGTAAAACTATCGCATGGTTGTAAAGTTACTGTTCCAGTTATTAATTGGAAAACAGTTCTGGCAGAACTCAAGAACACAGTCGGAGAGCAGGCTAATTGTAGATTCCGACAACGTATAGCGGTCTACGTGGCATTAAGTGCTCATCCCACTGACGATGATAGGGACGTATGCAATTAGAAGAGAGAAAAAATAATAAATGAGTAACTCATGCGGTAACACGGCATTAAAATGTACAGAGTTGCCAAATGCTTGTATCATTTTCATGCGTGTGCTATTTGACCAACTTAAGGCGATCTCTTATTAAAATCGTACAGTTTGCGTTTGATTTCTTCCATCTAAATACATTCGCAATCATTTTTTGTAGTCCAGCCCTGTGGGGCAAGGTTCATAATTTGCGCATCTGAAGGGTCATGCCATTGTAAACTACCTGTACCTAATGTACAGGTAAAGCAAAACATTCACCCAACATGGTGGCTGGAGCCCAGCTTCCATAATTGCAGACGGCATTGTCGATTATTACAATGTATGTACAACACCATAATGATTTCTCTAAGCTTTAAGCATCGTTGACAAATTGGTGGTAGAAATAATGGCTTGCGATACGTACGCAGGATGAACTGGTGGAGTTCCAGTACGGTGCAATGGAATACCTTTTTTTTTACGAATGTGGAGTTTATGACACAGTCTTTTAATAAATTGACTAACCAATAAAACGAATTTTTACAATGCTTCTATGCAAACTTTTTCTTTAATGGATATATACACTTAGGATCATAAGGCTATTGTAGGAAAAGACAACACTCACGAAGTACTATAACTATATTAATTTCATAATGAATGTTATCTTGTTCTACCGTAACCCTATGATCCCAAGCAGATCTAATATCAAACCCGTGAGGGGATGCTATTGAACCAATCAGAACGCCGCATTTCAGCTATGTTGTCGAGATGTATGACGGAATTTTATAAAACACGTCCAAATAATTTCAATTATAAATAACTTACTATATATTGTGGTACCTTTTGTCATTATCGTAAAATAACACGCAAAATCTTGTACAGCTATCTTACATTTACCAATATAGGAAGTCACAACAGGTCCAAGTTTGGTCAAAGATTGAAACAGGATTTTCCCAGTGTCAGTACTGGACCAGAGTATTTCCTACGTTGATAGACAACCATTACATAAACATTTCACTGCATTTCTTTTAACGATAACCGAAAATAACATAAGTGTTTCATGGTCAAAAAAAGCCGAATTTCCTTGAACATTTTGAACCTAAAGTGTTCCGCGATGGGAAAGGTTTTGGCATGTTGTGGTCAATATTTTTAATAGCAAACAAATTGGCAACGTAGTTCAGCAAATAAAATCGGCAGGGAAAGGCGGAGACAAAAGAGGGGAAAGAACTAGATACATTTTTTACAATAACCAATACACGAAATAGAAGGGCAAATTTGTTAAATTACTGACCGTTCACTGGATGCAAGACGGCAGGTAATTTTAGTAACATCTTTTTTTAAAAACGCCAAAGAGTTATTTTTACGGGTGAACGTCGACTATAAGCACTTCAAGATTCCAGACGTTAAGTTTTTTTGAATCGTTCACCTACACCTTTTAATAATACACGAGACGGGACGTTGACGTTAAAAACAACCATCAAAATAAATGACGTGACGTATTCGCCCGTTTCAGGCATAAAAGTTGCCGTTTATAAATTAACTTTTACCACTAATTAAAAAAAGTGGAAGAAACAAAACAAATTCTTATTATTAATCTTGATTACAAATTCATTCTCATTCAAAACAAACAACTCTCTATATAAAATTTATCAAAAACAATGAGGAAGATACAAAAAACTAAACATAAGAGTAAACTGTCGCACGTGTGATTTTACATAGGGCAAATAGACCGGTGCTTTAAAAATAGGATTAAACAACACAAAACAATTGTAACCAATTATACGTATGCAGATGTTTAATCGAAAAGGTAAAGCATGAAAATGAATTTAATAGTAAAATTAATTAATAAAAAAGTTAATTATTAAAACAGTAANTATCATATCAATGACTTGCACATGCAAAGCCGATTTAAGAGAACGTTGCAAACACATTATTGCAACTTTGTTGTATTGCAGCAGGTAGGTTCTTAACCTCAAAATACTTATATCGTATCATTAGAATTGTGTTAAATCAATTACACAGGAATAAATAATTTCTCACTTTATAATTTTAGTATGATTCTAGTGGAATGTAGTTAATGTAGGTGAAGAGTGAAGATATATGTCTGAAGAGCTATTACAGCTTTTCACTGAACATATTAACTTTTTTTTTAACTTAACTTTAGAAGAAAACTTCGTCGACTCCATCATCAAAAATTTTTACTTTTTTAACGTGTTTTATTATTTCGATAAACAATTTTACAATTTGCGTGCACAGTTCCTATGTAAATTTTTCCCTCATTCGAGTTATAAATTTTTCCACCAGATGTTGTATACCCATTTGACGGATCCCAATAGAAAATTTCAAAACTACAATCATGATTTTTGAACATTTCTTCTTTTGGTTCGTAAATTGTTATGTAACATATAATGCAAACTATGAAACTATAAATATACACTTTAAACAAGCATATTTTCACGTAAATTATCGATATAGTGGGAAGTAATACCGGAAGCACTATTAAACAGTTTAAAACCATTTAAAAAGCAATTTTACGTAATACGCTTCATATATAAATCTTGTTTAACTACACAACTATGTATATGTATATGTAATAATGGATTTCACTAAAAACACAATGTTGTTGAAAAGTGGGTATAAGTAGATTCATAAGAGAAATGACACGATTTTAAAAACAGTCACACTTATAATAAAAATACTTCCTCGTCTCTCATTTAAAACAAAAGTCAAAGACCTTCTTTAAATACCGTATGATTTAATAACGTAATGACCATCTTCAATAAGTACGTCTTTTGTTAGAGGTACACATGCAGAAGCATGAAGCTTTGGGGATCAAGGGCATCCAATTTAATAATTTATTCATAGCAGACCTTTCTTCAGTGTCGTTTTTCCTTTAAAAAAAAAATCAAGTCAAAGAGTCAATTTTTGAAGAGGTTGACTTTCAAACTAAATCAAGTAACGGATTACGGAATACTTCATCAATTTTTAAAAAATCAGATCCGACGTTTGGCCAATTGTTTTTAGGCTTTTTCAAGACTGTAATACATATAGATATAATAGTATTAGCATTTTTTTTGCGGTTACACAGATACTAATAGGCTCTTTAATACTTTCGTTTACTATTTCTTAATTGCTGTTACCATAACGATTATGATGTCTCCTTCCATTTACAATAACAATAACACATTCTTTTCTTATTTTACGTACCTATAATACATTGACCTAAGAAGCTTTAGCAAATGACAATTTACACGCCACTGAATGATTACAGCCTGTAAATAAAATTGCAAGTTGTTAAGCAGGCTCTGTTGCCAACTTTTAATGGAGATTTATCCGAATATTTTCGTTTCATGTGTTGTCATTTCATAGTCATTTTCAAATAATATTACCTTAGAAATACCGAACCAATCTTGCATACGGATTCATCCACAACCCTATATTTACTACAAATTTTTATCAGTATAAAGCGGCACTAGTTTAATGATGAGTACTGTTCGTTTCAAGAAGCTTTATTTAAAAGCATATTTAGCCAAAAATAATAACAAGTGAATTAACCTAACGCTCTACACACCTATAAAACGTTTGCTTTGTTTTCTATTGTTAATTTATATATATTTTTGTTTTAAGAAATTGCTAAACATTTTCGTCTAGTACTGTACAGTTCTAGCCGATCTCCTAAGACCGCCCGTCGAGAGCTCTGCTAGTATTTCTGTCTTGCTCACGCCTAGTGTGTATTCTTTCTATCTTCGCGCAGATTTCTTCAAGGTCACAATTCAAACAAATTGAAATGGGCTGTATTTTACTATGAAACACGTAAATAATATCAGCTTGAACATAGAGTACAATATCTGTGTTCGCTGATAATAAAATTGTAGTACAAAGTTAATACAACTAGATGGCAGGAAGAATAAAATCAAATAAACTGTTAATCTTTCGGAGAATTTAAAGAAAAAATCGCCGTATGTATTGCTGGACAGACACAAAAAATTGTGAAGCAGCGTGACAACGGGGAGAAAGAGACAATGAATGCGCAGCGTACCTTCTTTACGCCCTCTTG